CGCGAGTGCTACGAGGACCCCGACATCGCGGCCGGGACCATCAAGCAGTTCTGCAAGGACTGCAACACCCAGGTGAGCCCCCGCGGCCACGCGCGCACTCCGCAGGTGGCGGGCTCGGAGGAGTTCTGGACTCATCACGAACGCCCGCAAGTTCATGGTCAGGGGGCACGGTGCCTGCCCATGTGCACCTGACAGACTGCCGTGAGGACTGGGTTGTGGGCCCGGGAGGAGTCAGGGCGAGGGAGTGGAGCCCATCACCAGCCTCCCTGAGCCTGGCTCGTGCTGCTCCGTGTAGGTCCACCTCCACCCCAAGAGGCTGAGCCACAAGTACAACCCGGTGTCCCTGCCCAAAGACCTGCCCGACCGGGAGTGGAGGCACAGCTGCGTCCCCTGCCAGAAGATGGAGCTGTTCGCCGTGCTCTGCATCGAGACCAGCCACTACGTGGCCTTCGTCAAGTACGGCCGGGACGACTCCGCCTGGCTCTTCTTCGACAGCATGGCCGACCGGGACGGTAATCGCTCACTCAGCTCCCGTGGGGCCGCGTCCGTGGGGACAGTGTGGGGAGGCCCCAGGGACAGCGGGTGACAGCATGGCCGACTGGGACGGTAACCACTCACTCAGCTCCTGTGGGGCTGCGTCCCATCCGTGGGGACAGTGTGGGGAGGCCCCAGGGACAGCGGGTGACAGCATGGCCGACCGGGACAGTAACCACTGAGCTCCCGTGGGGCCGCGTCCCGTCCGCGGGGACAATGTGGGGAGGCCCCAGGGACAGCGTGTGAGGGTCTGAGGCCTGGGCTGCACTGGCGGCCCTGCTGCTAAAGGGTGATGCTGTGCTGCCCCCCAGGCAGGGGCGCCCCTGACGGAAGACCCTGAGCGTCTGTCAGCCGAGGGGCTTCCTTCACAGCTTCGTCCTCTCGGGGCCCAGCTCCTCATTTCTGCATGAGCCTGGTCGCCGGGTGTTGAGGGCCAGGCTCTGCGGGAAGGATATGGGGGTGCGGGAGCAGTTACGTGGAAGGAGAGAGAGTGCTCATTCCACTAGATCGCCCCCCGCCCCCTGCAGGGTCATGGCGAGGGGCGTGCGTGTCGGGTAGCTGGCGCTGTGCGTCTGTCTATCATTATCGCCCACTGAGCACGGGGGCGCGGGGAGGCGGTGTGGGCTTTGCTCAGGCTGTGACCTCTCGCCAGTTTTCTTCACTCTTGGCCCCAGAATCCCCTCAGAAATAAAACAAAATGATAACACCGTTGAGAGCAAAAAAGGCTTTAACTTCTAGGAATCAGAAGTAAAATCAGTCCAGAAACTGGCAGTTCCCCCACCCTGGGCTGCAGGTGTGAGATGGCGCAGGCCGGCGGCGGCAGCACATGGAGAAC